TGTCCCTTGTCATCCCGAACTTTTTTTCTTCTTAAATCCTTCGGTTTTGTTTAAATCCACACTTTAGTGCCACAAACTCTGCTCCTCTGGCTCTCGCTCTAACTCCCGCTCTGATGAACTGCTCTGATTGGTCAGAGCGCGGCCGAGCCCCTCTGTGCACGTGCGTGAGACCCGGTGTGAGACCCACACACGCGTGTTTGACGCAAAGCATTATGGGAGATCATCCACTGCACAGAACCGGGAGGACCAGACGATGCCCAAATACAGGAGAGTTTCCCAAAGATCTTTGAGAGTTTCCCATAGATCTTTGAGAGTTTCCCATAGATCTTTGAGAGTTTCCCATAGATCTTTAAGAGTTCCAGGCAACTTCCGCTAATCTTTTCAGCCTCCATACCGTCACAAAGCGCCACTGAGCACAACCATTCATTTGAATAGGGCGCCATCTTGGATCGCCGGGGCTTGATCACAGCCCATAGACAGGTGTGAGAGAGAGTCTTTCTCTGGTCTCTCTCTCTTTATGATGTAATGTCTCTTGTCTCAACCTGGTTTCTCTCTCTCATGTCTCTCTAGTAACTCAATGGCCTTCCTCTGGTCTCTCTCTGGTCTCTCTCTGGTCTCTGGTCTTTCTCTGGTCTCTCTCTGGTCTGTCTCTGGTCTCTCTCTGGTCTTTCTCTGGTCTCTCTCTGGTCCCTCTCTGGTCTCTCTCTGTTCTCTCTCTGGTCTCTCTCTGGTCTCTCTCTGGTCTCTGGTCTCTCTCTGGTTTCTCTCTGGTCTCTCTCTGGTCTTTCTCTGGTCTCTCTCTGGTCTCTCTCTGGTCTTTCTCTGGTCTCTCTCTGGTCTCTCTCTGGTCCCTCTCTGGTCTCTCTCTGGTCTCTCTCTGGTCTCTCTCTACCAGAGAGAGAAAGACTCTCTCTGGTCTTTCTCTGGTCTCTCTCTGGTCTTTCTCTGGTCTCTCTCTGGTCTCTCTCTGGTCTCTCTCTGGTCTCTCTCTGGTCTCTCTCTGGTCTCTCTCTGGTCTCTGGTCTCTCTCTGGTCTCTCTCTGGTCTCTGGTCTCTCTCTGGTCTCTCTCTGGTTTCTCTCTGGTCTCTCTCTGGTCTCTCTCTGGTCTCTCTGGTCTCTCTCTGGTGTCTCTCTGGTGTCTCTCTGGTGTCTCTCTGGTCTCTCCCTGGTCTCTCTCTTTGGTCTCTCTCTGGTCTCTCTCTGGTCTCTCTTGTCTCTCGCTGGTCTCTCTCTCTCTGGTCTCTCTCTCGCTGGTCTCTCTCTCTCTGGTCTCTCTCTGGTCTCTCTCTGGTCTCTGTCTGGTCTCTCTCTGGTCTCTCTCTGGTCTCTCTCTGGTCTCTCGCTGGTCTCTCTCTGGTCTCTCTCTGGTCTCTCTCTCTCTCTGGTGTCTCTCTGGTGTCTCTCTCTGGTCTCTCTCTGGTCTCTGGTCTCTGGTCTCTCTCTGGTCTCTCTCGGGTCTCTCTTTTGTCTCTCCCTGGTCTCTCTCTTTGGTCTCTCTCTGGTCTCTCTCTGGTCTCTCTGGTCTCTCTGGTCTCTCGCTGGTCTCTCTCTCTGGTCTCTCTCTGGTCTCTCTCTGGTCTCTCTCTGGTCTCTCTCTGGTCTCTCTGGTCTCTCGCTGGTCTCTCTCTCTCTGGTCTCTCTCTGGTCTCTCTCTGGTCTCTCTCTGGTCTCTCTCTGGTCTCTCTCTGGTCTCTCCCTCTGGTCTCTCTCTCTGGTCTCTCTCTGGTCTCTCTCTGGTCTCTCTCTCTGGTCTCTCTCTGGTCTCTCTCTGGTCTCTCTCTGGTCTCTCTCTGGTCTCTCTCTCTGGTCTCTCTCTGGTCTCTGTTTGTAATAAACAGTGACCCTGATGTAAATAGTCTCATTATTATTAATAAAAGACAAGAATAATACATCATATTTCTTCTTCTGTCTGTGGTTCTGTCTGTGGTCCTGTCTGTGGTTCTGTCTGTGGTCCTGTCTGTGGTCCTGTCTGTGGACCTGTCTGTGGTTGTGTCTGTGGTTCTGTCTGTGGTTCTGTCTGTGGCTCTGTCTGTGGTTCTGTCTGTGGTCCTGTCTGTGGTCCTGTCTGTGGTCCTGTCTGTGGTTGTGTCTGTGGTTCTGTCTGTGGTTCTGTCTGTGGGTCTGTCTGTGGGTCTGTCTCTTGTCATGTCTGTGGGTCCGTCTGTGGGTCTGTCTGTGGTTCTGTCTGTGGTTCTGTCTGTGGTTCTTTCTGTGGTTCTGTCTGTGGTTCTGTCTGTGGCTCTTTCTGTTGTCCTGTCTGTGGTTCTGTCTGTGGTTCTGTCTGTGGTTCTGTCCGTGGGTCTGTCTGTGGTCCTGTCTGTGGTTCTGTCTGTGGTTCTGTCTGTGGCTCTGTCTGTGGGTCTGTCTGTGGTTCTGTCTGGGGTTCTGTCTGTGGCTCTGTCTGTGGGTCTGTCTGTGGTTCTGTCTTTGGTCCTGTCTGTGGTTCTGTCTGTGGTCCTGTCTGTGGTCCTGTCTGTTGTCCTGTCTGTGGTTCTGTCTGTGGTTCTGTCTGTGGGTCTGTCTGTGGTTCTGTCTGGGGTTCTGTCTGTGGCTCTGTCTGTGGGTCTGTCTGTGGTTCTGTCTTTGGTCCTGTCTGTGGTTCTGTCTGTGGTCCTGTCTGTGGTCCTGTCTGTTGTCCTGTCTGTGGTTCTGTCTGTGGTTCTGTCTGTGGGTCTGTCTGTGGTTCTGTCTGGGGTTCTGTCTGTGGCTCTGTCTGTGGGTCTGTCTGTGGTTCTGTCTTTGGTCCTGTCTGTGGTTCTGTCTGTGGTCCTGTCTGTGGTCCTGTCTGTTGTCCTGTCTGTTGTCCTGTCTGTGGTTCTGTCTGTGGTTCTGTCTGTGGGTCTGTCTGTGGTTCTGTCTGGGGTTCTGTCTGTGGCTCTGTCTGTGGGTCTGTCTGTGGTTCTGTGTTTGGTCCTGTCTGTGGTTCTGTCTGTGGTCCTGTCTGTGGTCCTGTCTGTTGTCCTGTCTGTTGTCCTGTCTGTGGTTCTGTCTGTGGTTCTGTATGTGGTTCTGTCTGTGGGTCTGTCTGTGGTTCTGTCTGGGGTTCTGTCTGTGGCTCTGTCTGTGGGTCTGTCTGTGGTTCTGTCTTTGGTCCTGTCTGTGGTTCTGTCTGTGGTCCTGTCTGTGGTCCTGTCTGTTGTCCTGTCTGTTGTCCTGTCTGTGGTTCTGTCTGTGGTCGTCCTCAGGGCCTCAGAGCCGGGTCCCTGCACTTCCCGGGAACGCAGCCGAGCTACGACGGAGAGAACGCCACGATACGAGAGGTGGAACCCATCAACTACAACTACAAGAACGAGACGGCGTGGAGAGAGAACACACGCAAAGTCATGAGCTGGTTCCGGGACCAGAACCTGGACTTTGTCTCCATGTATTTCGGAGAACCGGACGGAACCGGTCATCGCTACGGCCCCAAGTCCCAACAAATCCGAGACATGGTCAAACAAGTGGATCGCACGGTCGGAATATTAGGGTTTCAACTGTTTGGGGACTAAGATGGGAACTTTCCATGGACCAGAGAGAGAGAGAGACCAGAGAGAAAGACCCTAGAGAGACCAGCGAGAGAGACCCAAGAGAGGTTGGAGAGAGACCAGAGAGAGAGAGAGCAGAAAGAGAGAGGCCATAGAGAGGACAGAGAGAGACCAAATAGAGAGGACAGAGAGAGAGAGACCATAAAGAGGCCGAAGAGAGACCTAAGAGAGGCTAGAGAGAAACCAGAGGGAGAGACCAAAGAGAGAGAAACCAGAGATAGGGACCAGTTATTGAGACCAGAGAGAGGCCGGAGAGAGACTAGAGAGGGACCCGAAAGAGATACGAGAAAGAGAGACCAGAGAGAGAGTCCACAGAGAGACCAGAGTGAAACCAAAGAGCAGAGAGAGACTCGAGACAGATAAATAAGAGATAGAGACCAGAGAGAGAGAGAGAGAGACCAGACAGAGACTAAATCATGTGTGACTTTTTTTTCTCCATACCTTAAGTTCTCATGGAAATGTTTTATTACCTCCTGCGGCGCCCCCTACAGGTGGGGTACATGCGACAGACGGCGAGAGAGTACGGTCTGGAGGAGCTGAACGTCATCATCACGGCGGACCACGGCATGAGCGACGTGTTCCGGAACGGTCTGGTGGAGGAGATCACGCTCAGCAAGATTCCCGGGTTTTCCTTCCGAGACGTGGCGTTCCATATCGTGGACTATGGGCCCAGCGGGATGCTCCTGCCCAAACCAGGAAAGCTGGACCAGGTGTACCAGGCCCTGAAGGGAGGCCATCCGCATCTGCACGTGTACAAGAAAGAGGAGCTACCAGAAAGACTGCATTTCAGCAAGAGCGAGAGAATACTACCCATAATCCTCTGGGCTGATCCGGGATATGTCATCAACGGGGTGAGTGAGAGAGAAGGAAGAGAGAGAGAGAGAGAGAGACCAGAGGGAGAGAGAGAAAGTACAAAAAGAGAGGACACAGAGAGAGACCTGAGAGAAAGGCCAGAGAGAGAGAGCAAACCAAGAGAGAAAGAGAGAGAGTGAGAAACCAGAGAGAGACTGAAGAAAGAGCAAAGAAAGAGCAGAGATAGACCAGAGAGAGACCATGGAGATTTAAATACAGGTACCAGTCATGTTTTACCAGCTGTTATATGATGTTGTTGGAGTATAGATTGGTAGCGCATGCTGGTTTTTCTCTGGTTTCTCTCTCTGGTCTCTCTCTCTGGTCTCTCTCTGCTCTCTCTCTGGTCTCTCTCTCTGGTCGCTCTCTCTCTCTGGTCTCTCTCTGGTCTCTCTCTGGTCTCTCTCTGGTCTCTCTCTGGTCTCTCTCTGGTCTCTCTCTGGTGTCTCTCTGGTGTCTCTCTGGTGTCTCTCTGCTCTCTCTCTGCTCTCTCTCTGGTCTCTCTCTGGTCTCTCTCTGGTCTCTTTCTGGTCTCTCGCTGGTCTCTCGCTGGTCTCTCTCTGGTATCTTTCTGGTCTCTCGCTGGTCTCTCTCTGGTCTCTCTCTCTGGTCTCTCTCTCTGCTCTCTCTCTGGTCTCTCTCTGGTCTCTCTCTGGTCTCTTTCTGGTCTCTCGCTGGTCTCTCTCTGGTCTCTCTCTCTGGTCTCTCTCTCTGCTCTCTCTCTGGTCTCTCTCTGGTCTCTCTCTGGTCTCTCTCTGGTCTCTTTCTGGTCTCTCGCTGGTCTCTCTCTGGTCTCTCTCTCTGGTCTCTCTCTCTGCTCTCTCTCTGGTCTCTCTCTGGTCTCTCTCTGGTCTCTCTCTAGTCTCTCTCTGGTCTCTCTCTGGTCTCTCTCTCTGGTCTCTCTCTGGTCTCTCTCTAGTCTCTCTCCTTTGAAGTTGTTGCTCCCAAACTGTGGAATGCCCTTCCTCTGTCGCTACGTGTGACCGACACTGTCGATTCCTTTAAAAAACAGCTGAAGACATGGCTGTTTGGACGAGCTTTTAGTTGAAAAGGCTGTGATTGTTTTAATTAATTTGTTTTAAGATTGCTCTGTAACTTTTATTGTTGTGCCCCTGTGAAGCACTTTGTGATTTTATCTGTGAAAGGTGCTATATAAATAAAGTTTCTTCTTCTTCTTCTTCTTCTCTGGTCTCTCTCTGGTCTCTCTCTCTGGTCTCTCTCTCTGGTCTCTCTCTGGTCTCTCTCTGATTGTGCGGTATGATTCCACAGTATACATTTATGACCTGTCCTTTCACTGGGTCCAGGGCCTGTCCTTCACTTCCTGCAGACACCAGAAAAAAGACCATAAAGATGTCATGTCTGATACCAGAAACGCAATGACAAACACACGGAACGACCTTTTTAACTCCTCACAATCTAATCACGCTCCAATCCAGAGATAAGAGAGAAGTTCATAAACAGTACAGCAGGAAACCAGCAGCACGTGGAGAAACTCTACTCTCTCTCTCACTCTGGTCTCTCTATGGTCTCTACTCGCTAGATTGTCTTTGGTCTCTCTCTGGTCTCTCTATGGTCTCTCTCTGGTCTCTCTTTACTCTCTCTTTGGTCCCTCTCTGGTCTATTTCTGGTCTCTCTATGGTCTCTCTATGGTCTCTCTTTGGTCTCTCTTTGGTCTATCTCTGGTCTCTCTATGGTCTCTCTATGGTCTCTCTCTGGTCTCTCTCTGGTCTCTCTTTGGTCTCTCTTTGGTCCCTCTCTGGTCCCTCTCTGGTCTCTCTCTGGTCCCTCTGGTCCCTCTCTGGTGTCGCTCTGGTGTCTATCTCTGGTTTCTTTCTGGTCTTTCTTCAGACATTACCCTGGTCCTCACAGTCCCAGACCTGGGTCCTCACAGTGCCAGACCTGGGTCCTCACAGTCCCAGATTGTCAGATAACACAATTCTATGTGTGTGTCAGTGTGTGTATGTGTTTCAATGTGTGTCAGTATGTAGGTAAGTGTGTGTGTCAGTGTATGTCAGTGTGTGTGTGTGTGTGTGTGTGTGTGTCAATGTGTGTGTGTGTGTGTGTCAATGTGTGTGTGTGTGTCAGTGTATGTGTATGTGTGTGTGTGTGTGTGTGTGTGTTACTCAGAGACAGTCCTGGTATCTGTCTGAGAAGAAGAGATTTTGATAAAGCTGGATCCTCTGGTCTTTGTCGCCCTCTGCTGGAAGGACGTGATATGTTCCAATGAAAAGGCCAAATGTATATGCACATGCAAGACCAGAGAGAGACCGGAGAGAGACCAGAGAGAGGGACCAGAGAGAGACCAGAGAGAGAGGGACCAGATTGAGACCAGAGAGAGACCAGAGAGAGAGGGACCAGAGAGAGACCAGAGAGAGACCAGAGAGAGAGGGACCAGAGAGAGACCAGAGAGAGACCAGAGAGAGAGGGACCAGATTGAGACCAGAGAGAGACCAGAAAGAGAGGGACTAGAGCGAGACATGATAGAGACCAGAGAGAGACCAGAGAGAGAGGGACTAGAGAGAGACCAGAGAAAGAGGGACTAGAGCGAGACATGACAGAGACCAGAGAAAGACCAGAGAGAGAGACCAGAGAGAGACCAGAGAGAGACCAGAAAGAGACCAGAGAGAGACCAGAGAGAGAGACCAGAAAGAGACCAGAGAAATCTAATCCAAAGATGTGACCAAAAACACATGTATAAGAAAACTAGTGCTAGAAGTTTAGTGAGACAGAAACAAGACACATTTTACCATATGTCTGAAAGTTACGTACCCCAGCTTTAATCCATGTACCATAAGTATTGATTCCTGGTATGTGCAGTATTTCCCGGTGCAGTTCCACCGTGGCGAGCACGGCTTCGATAACGCAGAGATGGACATGAAGCCGTTCTTCAGAGCCGTGGGGCCGGCCTTCGCTCGGGGCCTGGAGGTCGGACCCTTCGAGACCGTCAACATCTACCCACTCATGTGCCACATCCTGGGCATCAGGCCGGAGAAGAACGACGGAGACCTGGAGCTCACCAGACACATGCTGAGGGAGGAGGCCGAGAGGGGAGGAGGTGAGAGAGGAGGGGAAGGAGGCCGAGAGGGGAGATTGGAGAGGGGAGGGGAGGAGGTCAGAGAGGAGGGGGGAGAGGGGAGGAGGTGAGAGAAGAGGGGGGAGGCCGAGAGGGGAGGAGGTGAGAGAGAAGGGGGGGAGAGGGGAGAGCGGTGGAGGGGAGGAGGTGAGAGAGGAGAGGGGGGAGGCCGAGAGAGGTGGAGGTGTGAGAGAGGAGGGGGGGAGAGGGGAGGGGAGGAGGTCAGAGAGGAGATGGGAGAGGGGAGGAGGTGAGAGAGGAGGGGGGAGGAGGCCGAGAGTGGAGGAGGTGAGAGAGGAGGGGGAGGAGGGGAGGGGGGTGGGAGGCCGAGAGGGGAGGAGGTGAGAGAGGAGGGGGGGGGAGGCCGAGACGGGGGGAGGCGAGAGAGGAGGGGGGAGGAGGCCGAGAGGAGAGGAGGTGAGAGAGGGGGGGGAGGAGGGGAGGAGGGGAGGGGGGGAGGAGGCCGAGAGGGGAGGAGGTGAGAGAGGAGAGGGGAGGTGAGGGAAGAAAGTGAGAGGGGAGGGAAGGTAAGAAGGGAGGGGAGAGATAGAGGGAGACAGAGACAGAGGGAGAGATAGAGGGAGACAGAGACAGATGAAGAGATAGAGGGAGACAGAGACAGAGGGAGATAGAGGGAGACAGAGACAGATGGAGAGATAGAGGGAGACAGAGACAGATGGAGAGATAGAGGGAGACAGAGACAGAGGGAGAGATAGAGGGAGACAGAGACAGATGGAGAGATAGAGGGAGACAGAGACAGATGGAGAGATAGAGGGAGACACAGACAGATGAGAGATAGAGGGAGACAGAGACAGATGGAGAGATAGAGAGAGACAGAGGGAGAGATAGAGGGAGACAGAGAAAGATAGAGAGATAGAGGGAGACAGAGACAGAGGGAGAGATAGAGGGAGACAGAGAAAGATGGAGAGATAGAGGGAGACAGAGAAAGATGGAGAGATAGAGAGACACACAGACAGAGGGAGAGATAGAGGGAGACAGAGACAGATGGAGAGATAGAGGGAGACAGAGACAGATGGAGAGATAGAGGGAGACAGAGACAGATGGAGAGATAGAGAGACACACAGACAGATGGAGAGATAGAGGGAGACACAGACAGATGGAGAGATAGAGGGAGACAGAGACAGATGGAGAGATAGAGAGACACACAGACAGATGGAGAGATAGAGGGAGACACAGACAGATGGGGAGATAGAGGGAGACACAGACAGATGAGAGATAGAGAGAGACACAGACAGATGGAGAGATAGAGGGAGACACAGACAGATGAGAGATAGAGGGAGACACAGACAGATGGAGAGATATACGACTTTCGCTTAAGCAATGCCCCACAGTCTATACAGTGCAAAAACTCACTGGATTTAACTGGGGAATTTGGCTGTTTAGCTGGGACTAAAGTTCCAATGCCGAAAACCTCAAAATTGTGCTCACGGTTTCCACTATTCCTGATCAAATCAAACTGAAGTTTACGTGCTTTAGATTTCACAGGTAGAGCCAATGCTCTGGCTACGTCACTTTCATTTCCATGTTTTCTAGTCAAATGACGGGACATTTTGTGGCAGGACATTGAACAGTAGAGGCAGAAGTGTCTCTTGCTGTATACTCGCCCCCCATTTTTCTTCTTTTGCAGCTGCATGATAACAATCTTATTTGCCTTTGGTTCGTCACTTTCCGAGTCTTGAAGAAAAGTGTTTTTGATTTTTCTTTTTCCATACTTTTTTACAGGTTTCTTCTTGACAGTTAAATCGTCAGAATCTGAGTCGACTTCATCAATTAGGGACTCTTGACTAAGCTGCACAAACAACAAATAATTTTGTAATCATTCTATATAACAATTTGAAGTCATGACTTGTAGTCAGCACTTACCAGTGGTTTGTAAGCGTGCGCTTCAGTGTGCTCCTCCATGATTTCTTGCAGCCTAATGAACCACACACTTGCACCTTTTTCTAGCCTGACACCTGATTTCCTCTGTTGTGCTGCTCCATGATTGGCTCCAGCCTGCTGGACTGAAATTGCCCCAGTGTGCCCCTCCTTGATATCCCGCAACCCACCACCAGGGTTCCGACACATAACACACTTTTTTCAGGAAAGTAAACCTCCAGGGGTCCTTTCCATATTTTTACAGAGACTGCATAAGGACCGTTAGAAAAGCATTACCCATTGATTATTAAGCTTGGACCAGTGGGGTCCGGTGTTCGGGCCCCACCACGTAAAACCAGTCCCCATGACGTGAGTGGAATCTCAGGTTATGGAACCCACCAGGAGTTGAAAACAAGTGCACACACACACACAGAGAGAGACACACAGACATTGACACACACACACACAGAGAGAGACACACAGACATTGACACACACACACAGAGAGAGACACACAGACATTGACACACACACACACACACACACACACACACACACACACACACACACACACACACACACAGAGAGAGACACACAGACATTGACACACACACACACACAGAGAGAGACACACAGACATTGACACACACACACACACAGAGAGAGACACACAGACATTGACACACACACACACAGAGAGACACACAGACATTGACACACACACAACACAAAGAGAGAGACACACACATTGACACACACACACACACACACACACACACACACACACACACACACAGACACACACACACACACCCGTTTTGCTTTGACAGTGTTTTTGGGATTGAGGCGATTTAAAGTGAAACTAAAGTGAAACTAAAGTGGTGTAAAGTGGAGGCCCCTGTGGCGTCTCCTCAGACCGGTCCAACTTCACGTGAACTGTTTTGTAAATGTATAAATAAAGTTCTATCTCAGAGCTGCTTCTCTGAGCTCAGGACTCCAGGGCACAGTTTATACAGAGACCTGGACTCTTTGACTTACTTTGACTAGTCCCATAGTTTAAAGCTTCACTTATGGTTAAAACAGGGTCTGGTTAGTCTGTGATGGGAGACCTCTGGGAACAGCAGGTGCCACAGTGGGGCGGCTGTAAAGTGCCAAACTGTGGTTGTGTCCTTAGGCAAGACACTTTGGAGAGAGAGAATGAAGACGTGAAGAGACTTTGAGCGTCCTGGAGGCGCTGAATCAAGCCGACGCATTATTATTATTATTTATCATAATTTATTTATTATTTATCAGTAAAAGCTTCCTCAGTGTCCGTGGCATGATTAAAAGTTCTTGTCGACGTTGGTCTGAAGTATTGAATAGATTTTGTTCTTCCACATGAAAAGTGTCTTCATTAGAAACGTCCTCTGACCTTGAATGCGTCACAGATTAATGGTCCTGAATTAGCGGGTTAACCACGAGGCGTGTGTCGACCTGCGCCTGTGGAGACGCCCACATCCATCTCCTCTGATTGCCACGAAGGACGCACCAGAACTCACACAGCAGTCAAATTGACTGCACCCTTTCAAACCAATGGGATTCTGGGAAATTCCCTTAAATATGTTTTAGTTTTCCACCAGATTTATAGGAAAAACTTTAACTAAACACTAAAATTGTTCAACATAAGTTTATTAAAAGGCTAATGCTAAAAGCTCAATGCTATGTGTGTTGCTATGGTAACTAGTAATGGCTCTCCTCTGGTGGAAAACCAGCTGACTTGGCTTTGAACCAGGAACATGAAAACGAAGCTGCCAAAGCGAGTTATTAAAACAATGGTGAAATAAAGGTCAATGAACTATACACCTGTGTCGGCACCTGGTTTGCATGTTCTCCCTGTGCTGACACAGGGAGAACATGCAAACCTACACAGAGAGGCCCTGTTCGGAGGTAGAATCCAACTCCTTCAAACCGTTTTGCAACATGGTTAAAACATGGTTAAATTTTACATAAGTCTCCTTTAATGTAATGTTGGGACTGCAGCTTCTCACCTGATTGAAAAAAGAAATCTCCCACAATCCTGTGCGCCTAATCTATAATAATTTAATCGTTTGTGGCTCAGTATCTTGTTCCATCCCAATCCCAGAAATTACACTGCACTTTATGGAGCCATAAAAACCAGAAATTTCACATTTGTGAGAAACTCAGCCTCTCTTCAGATCTACAGAGTGGTCCCTGGTCCCTGTGCTCCTCTGTCTCTGCTAAACGTCTGTGTGCTAATATCCGCAATTATCTCCCCAATATGTGTCTGGGAACAGGGGAGCGAGGGTTTGGCGCTTGCCGGAAGTTTTAATTTGACAGCTTGTGTGATGGTGCTGGAGGCGGAATGTAGAAGCACGGGTCCAGAGGCGTCGCTGCAGAGAGCCAGGCAAGTGGCAGGCTTTAGGACCCTGCAGCAGCGGAGCCTCCTGCCGGAATATCAATATGGTTATTACCCATAATACCAAGCGAGTGTGGGAGGGGTGTAGGGTCAGAGAGTGTTTGGTCCTGAGTGTGTTTATGTGTCTTCTCTTTGTGGTCTCTCTCTCTCTGTCTGGTCTCTCTCAGTATTGTCCCTCTCTGTTTCTGGTCTCTTTCTCCCTGGTCTCACACTCTGGTCTTGCTGCGTGTTCTCTCTCTCTGGTTTTTCTCTATCTCTGTCTGCTCTCTCTGTTCTCTCTCTGCTCTCTCTTTCTGGTCTTTGTGGTCTCTCTCTTCTCCCTTTCTTTCTATTTCTGGTCTCTCTCTCTCCCTGGTCTCTATGTTCTCTCTTTGTTCTCTCCCTGGTCTCTCTTTAGTCTCTCTCTGGTCTCTTTGATTGCTCTCTCTACCGGTTTTCTCTCTAGTCTCACATTGGTCTCTCTCTGATCACTCTCCAGTCACTCTCTGGTCTCTCTGTCATCTCTCGTTGGTCTCTCTAGTCTCTCTCTGGTCTCTCTCTAGTCTCTCTCTCTCTCTCTGATCTCTTTCCAGTCTCTCTCTAGTCTCTCTCTAGTCCCTCTCTAGTCTCTCTTTGGTCCCTCTCTGGTCTCTCTCTAGTCCCTCTCTGGTCTCTCTCTGGTCTCTCTCTAGTCTCTCTCTAGTCCCTCTTTGGTCCCTCTCTGGTCTCTCTCTAGTCCCTCTCTGGTCTCTCTCTAGTCCCTCTCTAGTCCCTCTCTAGTCTCTCTCTGGTCTCTCTCTAGTCCCTCTCTAGTCTCTCTCTGGTCTCTCTCTAGTCCCTCTCTAGTCTCTCTCTGGTCTCCCTGTGGCCTCCTGACATTCATCCACATATATATATATTCTATATTCTCTTTGACGTCCACACACTTGGATAATGCAGGGTCCAGACTGGGCTTGATAGCAGCGCCGCTTACACAGGTCCAATGTTCCGCTCGTATGTAAATGTCACATATGTTTAGAAGCGTGTGGACTGTGCTGAATGTGAAGAAGCATCACTTAGGATAATAACGGAAGTTCAAAATGTCATCGGAGCCAATTACGGTGCACGCCACAGACAACGATGGCGTTTGTCACGGTCTGAGCGGCTTCACAAGTGTTTGTATACGACAAGAAATGTCACGGGGCGTTCAGGGACACGTTAAAGATACGATACTATAGCATTCTTCTCTCTGGTCTCTCTCACTGTTCTCTCTGCTCCATCTCTGTTGTCTCTCTCACTGGTCTCTCTCTCGCTGGACTCTCTCTGGTCTCTCTCTGGTCTCTCTCTCTCGTCTCTCGCAGGACTCTCTCTGGTCTCTCTCTAGTCCCTCTTTGGTCTCTCTCTGGTGTCTCTCACTGGTCTCTCTCTCTCTGGTCTCTCACTGGTGTCCCCCTCTGGTCTCTCTCTGGTCCCTCTCTCTGGTCTCTCACTGGTCTCTTTCTGGTGTCTCTCACTGTTCTCTCTCTCTGGTCTCTCACTGGTCTCTCTCTCTGGTAACTCTTTGGTCCCTCTTTGGTGTCTCTCTCTGGTCTCTCTCTGTTCTCTCTCTCGTCTCTCGCTGGACTCTCTCTGGTCTCTCTCTAGTCCCTCTTTGGTCTCTCTCTGGTGTCTCTTACTGGTCTCTATGTCTCTGGTCTCTCACTGGTCTCCCCCTCTGGTCTCTCTCTGGTCCCTCTCTCTGGTCCCTCTCTCTGGTCGCTCTCTCTGGTCTCTCTCTGGTCTCTCTCTGGTGTCTCTCACTGGTCTCTCTCTCTCTGGTCTCTCACTGGTCTCTCTCTCTGGTCTTTCTGACTCTCTCTTGTCTCTCTCTAGTCCCTCTTTGGTCTCTCTCTCTGGTAACTCTTTGGTCTCTCTCTGGTGTCTCTAACTGGTCTCTCTTTGGTCTCTCTCACTGGTCTCTCGCTCTCTCTCTCTCTGGTCTCTCTGTCTCACTGGTCTCTCTCTCTGGTGTGTGATGTCTTTGGTCATTTTAAAGCCTGAGAGCTGATTGGCTGAGTGATGGTGGTCCTCTCTGATTAACTTTTATGTCTGAAAAACTGGTATAAAGATGTGACAGAGACCAGGCTGTAGACCCAGGACTGAGACTGTAGACCCAGGACTGAGGCTGTAGACCCAGGACTGAGGCTGTAGACCCAGGACTGAGGCTGTAGACCCAGGACTGAGGCTGTAGACCCAGGACTGAGACTGTAGATCCAGGACTGAGGCTGTAGACCCAGGACTGAGACTGTAGACCCAGGACTGAGGCTGTAGACCCAGGACTGAGACTGTAGACCCAGGACTGAGGCTGTAGACCCAGGACTGAGGCTGTAGACCCAGGACTGTAGACCCAGGACTGAGACTGTAGACCCAGGACGGAGGCTGTAGACCCAGGACTGAGGCTGTAGACCCAGGACTGAGGCTGTAGACCCAGGACTGAGGCGGCTCATCAAAAACCACCCAAAAGCGTTCGATCGGGGGAAGTGTCCGCGGTCATAAGTGCGGGGCATAAATCTGGTCTTGGGGCTGGTTTGATGAAACACTGCGACGGTGAAGCTCCCTCCTGTGACTAATGGTACGACCCGCCCACTCGGGGAGAGCCCACTCCATCACCGGCTAGCCGCAATTAGCAGACCAAATATTTGCATGAAGACTGATTACAGGAGGCTAAGGAGAGGTCTTTCCCCAGGGCCTCGGAATATTGCATTCTGCTGAGGAGGACCGTGAGAAATGGTCTGTTGTAAATATAAATGACGACATTGGCTTCTGCTCAGTATTCATCCTGTCATGTCAAAGCTAGCTCAATGAAGGGAAGTGCTCAGAGACAAAGTTTAGCTCCAATTCGCTCCGGCTTCTATTGTCCTGGACCTACAGCCTGAGTCCTCGTTCTACAGCCTCAGTCCTGGGTCTACAGCCTCAGTCGTGGATCTACAGCCTCAGTCGTGGATCTACAGCCTCAGTCCTGGGTCTACAGCCTCAGTCCTGGGTCTACAGCCTCAGTCCTGGGTCTACAGCCTCAGTCCTGGATCTACAGCCTCAGTCGTGGATCTACAGCCTCAGTCCTGGGTCTACAGCCTCAGTCGTGGATCTACAGCCTCAGTCGTGGATCTACAGCCTCAGTCGTGGATCTACAGCTTCAGTCCTCGGTCTACAGCCTCAGTCCTGGGTCTACAGCCTCAGTCCTGGGTCTACAGCCTCAGTCCTGGGTCTACAGCCTCAGTCGTGGATCTACAGCCTCAGTCGTGGATCTACAGCCTCAGTCGTGGATCTACAGCCTCAGTCCTGGGTCTACAGCCTCAGTCCTGGATCTACAGTCTCAGTCCTGGATCTACAGCCTCAGTCCTGGATCTACAGCCTCAGTCCTGGATCTACAGCCTCAGTCCTGGATCTACAGTCTCAGTCCTGGATCTACAGCCTCAGTCCTGGGTCTACAGCCTCAGTCCTGGGTCTGCAGCCTCAGTCCTGGATCTACAGTCTCAGTCCTGGGTCTACAGCCTCAGTCCTGGGTCTACAGCCTCAGTCCTGGATCTACAGCCTCAGTCCTGGATCTACAGTCTCAGTCCTGGATCTACAGCCTCAGTCCTGGATCTACAGCCTCAGTCCTGGATCTACAGTCTCAGTCCTGGATCTACAGCCTCAGTCCTGGGTCTACAGCCTCAGTCCTGGGTCTGCAGCCTCAGTCCTGGGTCTACAGCCTCGGTCCTGGGTCTACAGCCTCGGTCCTGGGTCTACAGCCTCGGTCCTGGGTCTACAGCGTCAGTCCTGGATCTACAGCCTCAGTCCTGGGTCTACAGCCTCGGTCCTGGGTCTACAGCGTCAGTCCTGGATCTACAGCCTCAGTCCTGGGTCTACAGCCTCAGTCGTGGATCTACAGCCTCAGTCGTGGATCTACAGCCTCAGTCGTGGATCTACAGCCTCAGTCCTGGGTCTACAGCCTCAGTCCTGGGTCTACAGCCTCAGTCGTGGATCTACAGCCTCAGTCGTGGATCTACAGCCTCAGTCCTGGATCTACAGCCTCAGTCCTGGGTCTACAGCCTCAGTCCTGGATCTACAGCCTCAGTCCTGGCTCTACAGCCTCAGTCCTGGATCTACAGCCTCAGTCCTGGGTCTACAGCCTCAGTCCTGGATCTACAGTCTCAGTCCTGGATCTACAGCCTCAGTCCTGGGTCTACAGCCTCAGTCCTGGGTCTGCAGCCTCAGTCCTGGGTCTACAGCCTCAGTCCTGGGTCTACAGCCTCAGTCCTGGATCTACAGCCTCAGTCCTGGGTCTACAGCCTCAGTCCTGGGTCTACAGCCTCAGTCCTGGGTCTACAGCCTCAGTCGTGGATCTACAGCCTCAGTCCTGGATCTACAGCCTCAGTCCTGGATCTACAGCCTCAGTCCTGGGTCTACAGCCTCAGTCCTGGGTCTACAGCCTCAGTCCTGGGTCTACAGCCTCAGTCCTGGATCTACAACTGTTTTCCACTTTAAGAGAAACGTGAGAGTGATGTTTCCGTCGCAGTAAAACGTCGCAGCCGCAGGTGAAGCTTGTTCCTGGAGATAGACGTGTGTTGTTTCTGAGAGAGCGGTCCTGGAGCCGAGGATGTATGGGTCCGGCTCCTAATGGCTTTTTATCCTTTTTTTGACAAAGTAACCTGCGTCGTAACCTTCATCCCCATTGGCTGAGTGAAAGGGCGAGAGCGGGAGATAAACTCTGAGGTCCAATACATCAGCGCTCAAAGAGGAGAGAAGTGGACGATTCAGGACGGAGCGGAGACAAGACGAGGAAGACGGAGATGTCGGACGCTTTGGGGATAAACTCAGAGCTTTCAGGAGTTTTAGTTAGTTTAGCTCTGAGTTTTAGAGCAGGAGCGGATGGGGCCGGATCACTTTCACAGTTCACTCTAACACACAGTAAGTCCTGCGAAGGTCTAACAGGGAAGTTCCACAGTAGGCGTTAACATTACTCAGCTGTATGAGCACTAGGCGTGTGCAGGTCCTTCTGATGCTCTCCCTGTGCAGTCTGTGGAGAAGTGTAGAGGACAGTACAGAGACTGATGTAGAGCAACACAAAACACATGTGTTTGTCTTCATGGTCTCTGTTGCTGGTTTTGTGAACCAGACTTTGTGAAAGAAGAAAAATAATGTCCAGAATCACTGTAAAACCTGCTGCTCCTCCTGCTGATGTTTAGATACAAGTGCTGTGTGTGTGGATGTGATCTAGAGCCAAGGGCCGCGAGAAAACACATGTGAAACATGTGTTTTCAATGGAGACGCAATGCTGCGCGCACAAAATTAGAAATCCATCCTAAATTAGGCGCAGCCTCGCGTCATACGTCCGTCATACGTCCGTCATACGTCCGTCATACGTCCGTCATACACGTATATAACACTAGTGTAAATATATCATAGGTTAACATGGAAACTTGTTTCGTGCGTCTGCTGCACGTGTAACGCGTACGTGCTGTAAGGCCTCGTGTGGACATTAGCAGTACGTGCTGTAACGCCTCCTGTGGACATTAGCAGTACGTGCTGTAACGCCTCCTGTGGACATTAGCAGTACGTGCTGTAACGCCTCCTGTGGACATTAGCAGTACGTGCTGTAACGCCTCCTGTGGACATTAGCAGTACGTGCTGTAACGCCTCCTGTGGACATTAGCAGTACGTGCTGTAACGCCTCCTGTGGACATTAGCAGTACGTGCTGTAACGCCTCCTGTGGACATTAGCAGTACGTGCTGTAACGCCTCCTGTGGACATTAGCAGTACGTGCTGTAACGCCTCCTGTGGACATTAGCAGTACGTGCTGTAAGGCCTCGTGTGGACATTAGCAGTTACACTAAAGGGGCGTTCACACCGGACTTAACTTCGGCGTCAAAAGCGTCAGGTTTGCATTGAAAGTGAATGGTGAAGCGCGTCAGGTGAAGCCTCGGGCCCCGGCGTCACTTGACGCGCGAAACGCTCGCGTATCAAAACAATCCCTTTGACGCCGAAGCTGAGCAAAGCTGAGCTTTTGAAGCTTTGACGCGGGCTTCAACCAATCAGGAGACGAGGAGCAGCAGCAGCAGAGGGTCTGTCTCTGTCATGAAGAGAAGTCTTGTATCTGCTGCTGCTGTTTTATTGTCATTATTGTTATTAGTAATATTATTTGTATGAGTAGTAACGTCCTGAGTAACAAAATCATTGTACACATGCTGTGTAGTAAACGTAGTTTATTTAAAATAAGAACAGGCTGACGATGAGTCTGGCTCAGAGCAAGGCAGCTCCGGGCGGGCGAGAGCCGATGAGAGGCAGGGAGAGGCAGGGAGAGGCGAGCGAGAGGCGGGGAGAGGCGAGCGAGAGCCGGGGAGAGGCGAGCGAGAGCCGGGGAGAGGCGAGCGAGAGCCGGGGAGAGGCGAGCGAGAGCCGGGGAGAGGCGAGCGAGAGCCGGGGAGAGGCGAGCGAGAGCCGGGGAGAGGCGAGCGAGAGCCGGGGAGAGGCGAGCGAGAGCCGGGGAGAGGCGAGCGAGAGCCGGGGAGAGGCGAGCGAGAGCCGGGGAGAGGCGGCGAGAGCCGGGGAGAGGCAGAGAGAGCCGGGGAGAGGCGAGCGAGAGCCGGGGAGAGGCGAGCGAGAGCCGGGGAGAGGCAGAGAGAGCCGGGGAGAGGCAGTGAGAGGCAGAGAGAGCCGGGGAGAGGCAGTGAGAGCCGGGGAGAGGCAGTGAGAGGCAGAGAGAGCCAGGGAGAGGCGAGAGAGAGCCGGGGAGAGGCGGGGAGAGGCGAGCTCCGGGGTTTGAGAACTCAGACTGGGCGAGTGACATGCGGAAGTACCGCTGAAAGCGAAACTCCTCCGTACGCAGCTCCTGGAGTAAATGACAGAACTCTGCAAACACTGCAGCCTCTCAAGTCTGTGGTGAACCCAGAACATGTTTTGTTGAAGCCCTACAACAACGTTATTTTGCTTTATATAACAAATAAAGGCTCGCTGCTCATTGAAAAATCCACCGCTGTCCTGACTACAGACGACAGAGAAGCTCCTCCCACCGGCATCAGGCGCGTCACTCGCGTCAAAAGCTTCAAGCACCAAAATGACAAAACTATCCCGGCGTCAGTTGAAGCGCGTCAAAAGCTTTTTGAAGCTTTTGGTCTGAACGCGCCTTAAGGTCTGGGTTTGTAGCGTACCAAGACTTTCACAGCGGTCACATGGTTTTATATCAAGACTAAATACATAATCTCTCCGTAGCGTCTGCCGCACCAACACTTTTTACGATTGCTTTGACCTTCAGACCAAAACATCAAGTGGAAAAGTACTGATACTGCAGACTCTTGTGACCAGCTCAGTTTTGACATAATTCCACAAAATGTCCTAGAATTAAAGATCCACATTTTGCACGTGATGGTAAACATATCCTGATGACAACACTTTTATCCTGTCTATGAATCCATCTCTCTGAACCATGCGCCTGGTTCCTGGTTCTTCTCTTTCCAAGTTGATCATCTCTGAACCCGGTCCGACGGCTCACCTTGGGGCAGAGTCCGGCCTCCGTCACGGCCTCCGCAGAAAGAAACAAACTAAAGCCAAGATTGTAAATGTCACGAGTGGCCGCGTCATATGTCAGAGTAATTAAAGCTGTTGTTTTTTTGCCGCCGCCGTATGCTGCTCACAAACGTCCGGTTTTAATTATGGTTTACTAAACTTTTGCACCTTTGGCTTTTTTTTTTCATGTGGAATACGCTACTTGTGGAAACGTGTAGAAAATACAGCTCTTTTTAATTGTGTGGAGAAAGAAATGAGGGAATGATCTGCCCCTGTGTCTGAGACCGTCTGATTCACTTCCTGTTTTAAGTCTCGTCTTAAAACTCACTCGTTCTCATTGGCTTTTGCCGTAAATTGTGTATTTTTGTGTGTCTTTTTATGAATAGCACTTTGTTTTTATTAGTGCTTTATAAATAAACTGGACTGGACTAGATGTCGGGAGTTTGGGTAAAAATACATACATTGAACCCATAAATATACTCAAAAAAGCTGAATTATTTCACTCTAAACATGGTTGTGATGCACTTTAACTGTAGCCACATCTGCCTTGGGGCACACTGACGGAAGCGACCAACCATTCACACACACACCAGACTCATTCTAATGTGGGGGAAGTGTCTTGCCTAAGGACACAACGACAAGTGATGTTTGTAGAGGTCTCCCCTCACTGCACTAACCAGGACCTGCCCTGCTTAGCTTCAGAGATCTGACGGGATCTGGCTTTCACCTGCGGATATGGTATGAACACTCTGAGGAGCACAGGGACTGACCACAGGGACTGACCACAGGGGCTGACCACAGGGGCTGACCACAGGGACTGACCACAAGGGCTGACCACAGGGACTGACCACAGGGACTGACCACAGGGGCTGACCACAGGGACTGACCACAGGGACTGACCACAAGGGCTGACCACAGGGACTGACCACAAGGGCTGACCACAGGGACTGACCACAGGGACTGACCACAAGGGCTGACCACAGGGACTGACCACAGGGACTGACCACAGGGACTGAGCACAAGGGCTGACCACAGGGACTGACCACAGGGACTGACCACAGGGACTGACCACAAGGGCTGACCACAGGGGCTGACCACAGGGACTGACCACAGGGACTGACCACAAGGGCTGACCACAGGGGCTGACCACAGGGGCTGACCACAAGGGCTGACCACAGGGACTGACCACAGGGACTGACCACAGGGACTGACCACAGGGACTGACCACTTGTTACACCTGTCAAAAAACAAAACTTTTTTGGGCACAGAATCCCATTGGTTTGAATGAGAGGCTCTGAGAGTTCAACCTGGTGTGTGTGTGTGTGTGTGTGTGTCAGGAGGACAGTGTGTGTGTGTGTGCGTCTCTGTGTGTGTGTGTGTATGTGTGTGTGTCTCTGTGTGCGTCTGTCTCTGTGTGTGTGTCTCTCTGTGTGTGTGTGTGTGTGTGTCAGGAGGACAGTGTGTGTGTGTGTGCGTCTCTGTGTGTGTGTGTGTATGTGTGTGTGTCTCTGTGTGCGTCTGTCTCTGTGTGTGTGTCTCTGTGTGTGTCTCTCTGTGTGTGTGTCTCTGTGTGTGTCTCTCTGTGTGTGTGTCTCTGTGTGTGTGTCTGTGTGTGTGTGTGTCTGTGTGTGTGTGTGTGCGTCTCTGTGTGTGTGTGTGTGGGTGTATGTGTGTGTGTCTCTGTGTGCGTCTGTCTCTGTGTGTGTCTCTCTGTGTGTGTCTCTCTGTGTGTGTGTCTCTGTGTGTGTCTGTGTGTGTGTCAGGAGGACAGTGTGTGTGTGTGTGTGTCTCTGTGTGTGTCTCTCTGTGTGTGTGTCTCTGTGTGTGTGTCAGGAGGACAGTGTGTGTGTGTGTGTGTCTCTGTGTGTGTGTCAGGAGGACAGTGTGTGTGTGTGTGTGTCTCTGTGTGTGTGTGTGTCTCATATGTCAGACTCATTACAGGACCTGAGCCACAGATGGAAACAAAGCGCTCACATTATGTCCTTGTGCGACCGTGACCTTTAAAGCGCCGCGTTCTCGCTGTTGTTTGTTTTTGTTGCAGAAATATTCATCGTCAAGAGTCTGTTTTTAGACTCGGATTAAACTCCAACAAAACACTTCACTTGGAAAAGAAAATGAGGTTTTTTGACCATGAACTACATGTATGTGGTCTCTGCTCCTTTTGGACCAAAGTCTCTAAATGTTTTCCTGGGTTGGATTCTCTGATCTGTTTTGGTGAATCGACGACTTTGTAAATTCCTCCGAGAAAACTACTTTTAACAAGATTCTTACTTTTATTCTTTGAGTTTTTGAGTCTCTTCACGTCATTAATCTTTCACTCAAAACACTGCTACAGTAGCCACAGCTGCCCTGGGGCACACTGACAGAAGCCCCTCCCACCACCAACCATTCACACACCAGACTCATTCTAATGTGGGGGAAGTGTCTTGCTTAAGGACACAACCACAGTTTGGAACTTTACAGTCGCTGTTCCTGTCAAACCTCTGAGGCTAAGCAGGGCAGGACCTGGTCCCTCTCTCTCTGGTCTCGCACTGGTCTCTTTTTCTCTCTGGTCTCGCTCTGGTCTCTCTAAGGTCTCTCTGGTCTCTTTCTGGTCTCTTTCTGGTCTCTCTCTGGTCTCTCTCTGGTCTCCCTCTGGTTTCTCTCTGGTCTCTTTCTCTCTCTGGTCTCTCTGGTCTCTCTCTGGTCTCTCTCTAGTCTTTCTCTGGTCTCTGTCTGGTCTCTCTTGGGTCTCTCTCTGGTCTCTCTCTAGTCTATCTCTGGTCTCTTTCTGGTCTCTCTTGGGTCTCTCCCTAGTCTCTTTCTGGTCTCTCCCTAGTCTCTTTCTGGTCTCTTTCTGGTCTCTCTTGGGTCTCTCTCTGGTCTCTTTCTAGTCTCTCTCTTCTCTTCTTCTCCCTCACCTGTAAACCCACTTGTTTTCTCTCCTCCAATCGTATGCAGCTCTCTCCAGCAGCTGCAGCATAAACACACTGATTACTCTGCTGTGCTGTGGATGAGTGACTGCTCACGCACGGCTGGAGGTCACAGGGCCCCCTAGTGGCCCCTGGCGGACCCCTCTGTCACCTTCACAGACAAACGACTCCTTCTCAAACCCATGTTTAATTCATCCTGGAAAACACCCCTGGAGAGCCGGGCCACAACAGCAGCCGCAGAAAAACAAACGGAAAAGACAGAGGAAGGAGAGATTAAAGCTGGGAGACCTGACTTTTAATGCTTTTAATGATTTTTTTGACTGCTGCCGTTTTTGATGATTTCACTGATCCTCAAGAACCACAGAAAATTATTTGCTAAGACTATGTGAAATGTGAAACCAGATTCTGAAAGACTGGATTGTCTACTTTGATCAGCAACAATAAGTTTGTTTCTAGCTGTTTTTATTGTCGTGTAATCCGCAGTCGAACAGAGGGTCTCAGACAAATGCGTCAGTGGCGATCAGAGAGTTAATGTTTGACTCTGGAATAATATCTGTCACTGCTTCCTCACGGTTTGGTTCTGTCTCCAGTTTCCACATTAAACTCTGTCACATCTTTAGGTCAGTATTTGCACAGAGAAAAGTGACACAGAGAGGACCCCCCTCATTCGACCAATCAGCTCTCAGCCCAAAGAGTCCAATAGTGACTCACAGGGATCATGTGTCCTAATACTTCTGAGTTCTACAGGTGTATATTCCACAGACTGTATATACAGTATTAACGGACGTAGTCACGCCTATCTCCGCCAAACTAATCGGCCACAACTTCAGCGGGCTATGGGCAGTTTCAAAATGGCCGCGGGGGCTGGAAAATGTGAAAATGTATCTGCGCATGCGTCAGCTGCACGAGCCCCATTCATTTAAACGAGAGACTTCTAAAGTCCACAGCTTCTAAACTAGACTGGGCTTAGCCATCCGTACGGTGGCTGAGTGGATAGCACTCTCGCCTCTCAGCAAGAAGGTCCTGGGTTCGAATCCCAGTTGGACCAGGGCCTTTCTGAGTGGAGTTTGCATGTTCTCCCCGTGTCTGCGTAGGTTTCCTCCGGGTGCTCCGGTTTCCCCTACCACTAAAAATATGTACAATAGGTCTGACATGTGCCTCCTGTACTGGCCCCCCCACTCCCAATAATAACAATAGTAAACCGCTTTGAGACTCCGATGTGCAGTGAAAAGGCGGTATATAAATAAAGATTACTACTATTACTACTACTACACTCCGCTCAATAATCATTTCACTGCATGTAACGTTTGGGTCTGGTCCCTGTGTTAGCGATTACAATCGTGAGAGGCGGATGTTGTAGTTAGTTGTGGGCGATCAAGAGTTTGCGTAGAACGGGCAGGTCGTAGTTTGGCAATGTCGAAAAATGTGAAAGTAAAGTATTCTGGTCTGGTTCTATCAAGAAAGTGAAGCCGGAGCGAGGGTAATGTTTAGCAAATGTAATCGCTGGAAAAAATTGTGGCGCTACTCCCCACGGGCTCCGTTAGCGGCAAAGGAGATGGTTAAAGCTAGGCTAAATGCTAAATGCTAACAACATCTCTCTCTGGTCCCATCTCTCTCTCACTGACCTCCCTCTCTTCACTCTCTGGTCTCTCTCCGGTCTCTCTCTGGTCTCTCTCTGGTCTCTCTCTGGTCTCTCTCTGGTCTCTCTCTGGTCTCTCTCTGGTCTCTCTCCGGTCTCTCTCCGGTCTCTCTCCGGTCTCTCTCTGGTCTCTCTCTGGTCTCTCTCTGGTCTCTCTCTGGTCTCTCTCTGGTCTCTCTCTGGTCTCTCTCTGGTCTCTCTCTGGTCTCTCTCTGGCCTCTCTCTGGCCTCTCTCTGGCCTCTCTCTGGCCTCTCTCTGGTCTCTCTCTGGTCTCTCTCTGGTCTCTCTCTGGTCTCTCTCTGGTCTCTCTCTGGTCTCTCTCTGGTCTCTCTCTGGCCTCTCTCTGGCCTCTCTCTGGCCTCTCTCTGGCCTCTCTCTGGTCTCTCTCTGGTCTCTCTCTGGTCTCTCTCTGGTCTCTCTCTGGTCTCTCTCTGGTCTCTCTCTGGTCTCTCTCCCGGACTCTCCTTCGTGGTAAAACCCCAACTCGGGTCCAAACAACACGCCGCCCTTTCCCTCCGTCGTGACCATCGGGGTAAAAAGGTTTCCATGAGAGACGTCCTTCATTTTCAGCGTCTGTGGCAACAAGAGAAATGCTGAGCTCAGTGCTGCCGTGTCCTTGACGATGGATTCAAAGAACAAAACCAGTCAATGTCCTGTCACTACAGCCTTGTGCACACGGAGCAATAACCACGCCTCGACCGGACGCCACACGGACAGATGTGAAACATGTATGTAGCACACAGAGGACATGTGACATCACCATCCTGTTAGCTTTAATGCTGAAGAGGCCGTTTTACACATGAGCCGGAGACATGCTTTACAACAACATGTCTGGTCTCTCTCTGGTCTCTCTCTGGTCTCTCTCTCTTTTCTATGTCTCTCTCGATTCCCTAACTCTCCAGTCCCTTTCTAGTTCTCTATCTCTGGTCTCTCTCTGTGTTTTCTCTCTTTAGTCTCTCTCTGGTCTCTTTCAGTCCGGTCTCTCCCCCCGGTCCCTCACTCCAGTCTCTCTCCGGTCTCTCATTCCGGTCTCTCTCTTGTCTCTCTCTGGTCTCTTTCTGGTTTCTCTCTCTGGCCTCTCTCTGGTCTCTCTCTGGTCTCTCTCTGGCCTCTCTCTGGCGTCTCTTTGGTGTCTCTCGGGTCTCTCTCGGGTCTCTCTCTGGTCTCTCTCTGGTCTCTCTCTGGTCTCTCTCAGGTCTCTCTCAGGTCTCTCTCTGGTCTCTCTCTGGTCTCTCTCTGGTCTCTCTCTGGTCTCTCTCTGGTCTCTCTCTGGTCTCTCTCTGGTCTCTCTCTGGTCTCTCTCTGGTCTCTCTCTGGTCTCTCTCTGGTCTCTCTCTGGTCTCTCTCTGGTCTCTCTCTGGTCTCTCTCTGGTCTCTCTCTCTGGTCTCTCTCTGGTCTCTCTCTCTGGTGTCTCTCTGGTCTCTCTCTGGTCTCTCTCTGTTCTCTCTCTGGTGTCTCTCTGGTCTCTCTCTGGTCTCTGTCTGGTACAATACAATACAATTACAATACAATTTATTCTTGTATAGCCCTAGGTCACAACAGAAGTCATCTCAGAGGACTTAACAAAACCATTGAAATCACCAACACAGGTCAGAGAATCAACAGTTAAAACACATGAAGAATATAAAGCACACACAGAAGAAAATGTCCATACATGTTGTAGAATGCTAAAGTGTCCTGATCATCACCAATCCTTTCTGTTGGACACTAACTGTCCAACAAGACCCTCCTGCATCGACAAGGAAAAACTCTTAAAAAACCCAGTGGGAAAAAGTGAGAAACCTTGGAGGAGAACTAGGGAAACCCACAGGGAGGGAGACCCATATGAAAAAGGGATCCGCTCCTCCGGACGGACAGGCTAATGATCTAGGACCTAAGCTAGCTACAGAACGTGGACCAGTGGACGCTGAACGTGGACAGGTCCGGTGCAGGACCGAAGCACTCCCAGGCGGGTCGGGCGGGGCAGTCCGCAGGTGTAGATGGAAGAGGCCAGGCTCAGAGATCCCGTCATCGTACCATGAAACAGACAATGGGACTCTCTCTCTGGGGTCTCTCTGGTGTCTCTCTGGTCTCTCTCTGGTCTCTCTCTCTCTGATAGAAGCATGGATAAATGGAACACAGTTTGACTCATCATAATGTACTTTTCTGAACTAAACAGTTTCTCACTCGCCATTTTTTTTGTTGCAAAAAACTCTGCTCCAGTATCTCTCTCTCTCCTCCACTCTCCCCTCATCGAGAGCTGCAGCCTCCTCTCTCCCCCTCTCTCTCTCTGAGCCCGGGATTAGCCCTCTCGCCTCGGATCGGCTCCAAATTGGTCTGGAGCTGTCCGAGGTGCTGTGCCGGCGGCGGTGCCCAGGGAAGAGTGCACTTGCCTGGGCTGCCTCGCTCTGACCTCCCCCTCCTCGCCTGGTCAGTGATGGATCCCAGGACGAGAGAGCGTCAAGGTTAGCCGCACGTCCTGCTTCTCAAAACATTTCACAGAAAAAGACGGAAAAGGCAAGACTCGAACATGAAAGAAAACATCTTATGTCACGGAAGAGTGAAGCAAAAAGAACCAAGAATGAGATGTAAAAGTTTTTCATAGATAAAACATTTTACTTTTTCCCCCGAACAATAAAGTCTCGTAAAAGTAACAAATTGAACTAATTAGACCACATGGTAACTTCCTCTCTGGTCTCTCTCTCTCTGGTCTCTCTCCCCCTGGTCTCTCTCTGTCCCTGGTCTTTCTCTGTCCCTGGTCTTTCTCTCTCCCTGGTCTTTCTCTCTCCCTGGTCTCTCTCTCTGGTCTCTCCCTCTGGTCTCTCTCTCTGGTCTCTCTCTCTCCCTGGTCTCTCTCTCTGGTCTCTCCCTCTGGTCTCTCTCTCTGGTCTCTCTCTCTCTAGTCTCTTTCTAGTTTCTCTGATTTCTTCTTCGTCCAGTCTCTCTCTCTCTCTCTGGTCTCTCCCTCTGGTCTCTCTCATAGTAAGTAAGTAATGTTTGTGTTTATTTAGCGCAGTCTGTAAATATCAACAGACATATTCGAGACTATCTCCGCTGTTGAAACTGATGTATCATCCTTTTTGGCTTTTTAAAACTTACAGCGGGCGGGAGGATGTGCCAGCTGCACCAGCGCATTTCAATCAGCGAGTGTATTCTGAAGTCCACAGCAACTAAACTGGACTGGTCCAAAAACACTCCCCTCGACATTGACACATGTGGAGCACCTTTAGGACCGTCCTGTAGAGAGGTTTTCCAGAGGAAAGAAGACGCCATACAAAGGCATTGGGGAAATCTCTTTCCGCGTACACCCCCACAGGCCCAGGGGGGTATTGCAGCCTTTAAGCGCCAGGACCCGCCCACAATGGTCACTACAATGTTTCCTTTTGAATGCGCTGGAAAAACGGCTGCTTTCTGCAGTACAGTGTTCATGGTTTTACACTGGTCCAGACCAGAGCAGAGAGGATTCATGGTTTTACACTGGTCCAGACCAGAGCAGAGAGGATTCATGGTTTTACACTGGTCCAGACCAGAGCAGAGAGGATTCATGGTTTTACACTGGTCCAG